GTGCATAATAGGGTGTGACCTTGACAGTGATTGGTTCCTCTTCCTCTCCTGCCAAGCCACCTGCTCCTTTTTGGCTTTCAAAAGGGCCTGTTCTCCGTTAATAAATGAGTTGTCTACCTGCTTGACTTGACTTCCCACTGAGTCTGATTGTCTCCCAGGCTGAGGGAGGCTGGGGAATCGGTGAGCGCCACACTTACCTTTCCTTGGACCTCATCTGTCTTTTCTTCGTGGGACTGGGACGGACAAAGACCCAACATCTGGCGCCCAACGTGGGGCACGAAAGGCAAATATACCTGCCGAGGCTAAGCAGTCTCTCAGGGTAAGTGAAACCGTTAGTATGGGTAATGGTATCTCACAGAAGAAGGAGGAGGAGGCAACATTAGGCCTAGAAGGAGTACAGGAGGACTTGGGAAGTGAGAAGGAAAAGGAACGGGTCAAATTGGACTGAGAACACACTGAAACATGCACAGTGGAAGTCAAAACGAGGGTGAAAATGACTCCATCTGACTCAGGTGCTCCTGACGGTCCTAGGTCCCTTCCCTATTCCCCCGATTGGAGGGGAGGTAGGGCACCCTATGAGACCTGGGAGAGGGACTTTCAAGACTCAGACCCCTACCAACCTTCAATGGAGGGGCCGAGGCCTGGGAAGTAACCTACTCGGAGACCTACCCTGGAAGGGAAGGGCCTCCTGAGAGCCTGGACTCTAGGCCACAGGATTCACTTCCGCAAGTGTATCTGGTCAATCTGGCAGCAGGGGCTAACAGGCCCTTGGAATGGTATCCATGGGAAGTTAAGGATCTTAAAGAGCTCCGCAAGGCGGTGGCAGAGGATGGCCTGAACTCTCCCTGGGCCCAGACCCTGTTCCAGGACATTGCTTATCACCCATGTGTCCTAAAGGACTGGCTGGATGTGGCCAAAGCCGTCCTTTCTAGTTCTCAGTTTATTAAATGGTGTGCTTTCTTTAAGGAGGAATGCAGAGTGCAGGCAGGGAATAACCAGCATTCTCAACCCTGGATACCTATTACTTATGCCATGTTAGCAGGGACAGGGGGAAGGGTACTCCACTGGCGTCCAACAGGCTACCATACCTGGCCCGTACCATGACCAGGTGAGGCAGGCAGGACTTGCCCCGTGGTACAAACTGGATGATGGGCCCACTGAGTCCCCCATAGCAGCAGTGAGACAAAAACTGGGTGAGCCTCTACCTGATTTTATAGACCAACAGAGCGTTCACCGTAAGCTGCCAGCAGGAGACCTCCGAGATCAGTTTGTAAAGCTGCTGGTTTGGGAAGGGATGAATGCAGACCACCACATGGCCTGCGGGGGATTGAGAGAGAGTTCCCTGAG